GCCACCTGACTGCTCACTTGTGTCCACTCCAACACGCCGTTTTCATCGCTTGAAATCAGGTTTGTAATCACAACACTTGTGGCGCCTACCTGAGTTAGAGGAAACAATAAAACGTGAAATTTTAGACAGTCGTTCTTTGAGCAGATCAGCTCGTACAGGGAAGATAAATTTTCTATGAAATTTTATCGAGACGCTCCAACTTCTTTATCGCGGGTTTTCACATTCGAGTGCAATGCGTTTCGGGAATCCAAATCGATTTCGCTTAGTTCTAATTGGTTTCAGCGACCCTGATAAATGTCAATCGCATTGTTCAGTCTTTGTTGTTGTTAGTCTACTGTTATCATGTGACCTTTGATATGCTGAATGAGCTTAAACTTTGAAATACGTCTAGAACGTTTGTTACTTATTGCGAATCCCGAGAGTTCTGTGGTCCATTCATCAAGCAAATACGGTTCGTTGCGTGAAATTTTCTCAGTTGGTTCCACTTATCAAGGTTCTTATGTCCACCAAACCCTCGAAACGGAATCTTGAATGCGTGACCACATGTGATTTGGATGTCACAATCATGTTGGTGTGCTATGATAATCTTAACCATTCACGCGAATCGATTCAATCGATCTTCTTAATAGGGAGGGACAGATGAGTAGTATGTTGTCTATCCATTTTAACCATATTTATCAGTAACTCATGGTGTGTGAGAATGGATTATCGATTACAATCGGTCACTGTTCATATTTCATCTTCACGCCCAATGCCCAGTTCACTTAGTCATCATACATTCGAGTTTTGCTCCTTTTTACACCCCTCGATAGATTATATTTACCAGACAGTTCATATATTTACGCAAGATCCTCGAGGATGAAAATAATGTATGGTATTCCTCTGGTAAATACCACGCATACAGAATGACCAGAGTTACCCAGTTAGGTTTTTACAAATATTGCGTTATCTGAGTATACCATAATTATACATTGTAATAAAAATACAGCCGAGAACAAGCTCAGTTGCGATGATTCATCTGCAGGCTAATACATCACAATTTATGTTATGGAGGGAGTAATAATTCGAAACCGGGAAGAAAATTACTCGACATTGTAGTCCCATGACTGGAT